CATGATTTTGTAGTCTTGCATAAGATTAAGTCTCATTGTTACATGCATAGGCAAATTAATATTCTAATTACAACATGCATCATGGATTTTGAAAAAAAAAAAAATTGAATTAATTTAATTTCATATTTTGAAGAGAAAAAGGGAAAAGCTTTAGAAAGATCAAGTTTATGGAAATTTGGAGTTAATCTTAAGGTTAGACAAAGTTTTGATTTTTAATATGAAAATTAGGGATTTGTTTGATTTTAATTTTTAATCCATGCATGTAATTTAATTTAAAAGTTTTATTCAATTTAAACACATTTTAGAACATCTATGATTATAAATTAAATTTTTGGTTAAAGATTGAGTTAAGTTGAAATTCTGAGGAATTCATTTTGTAATTCATTAGTTAAGTTTGATTTTGTTATTGATAATGAAATTGGGTTCTATTTTTACATACATCGTGAAATTTTCAAGGGTTTGGAAAGTCTAATTCATATTTTAAAATTGTGGCTTTGATATAAAGAAAATGAGTTAAAACTAAATTTGGACAATTGAAGCATGATTTTGAATAAATGATTTCTACATGAGAGTGTTTGCTAAATTATACAATGGTTCTCCATATTTGTGTACCAAAAATACAAGTTTTGAGGCTTTGAATATCAAATTTGAACTTCAATTACAATTCTGGAATTTCCAGATTTCACATTGTCTGCTCAAGCGAGGAAAGTCTCGCTTGAGCGTGAAAATCGAGCTCCTAGAAGTGTTTCAAAATTTTACAGTCCGCTCGAGCGACCAAAGTAGTGCTCGAGCGAGGACCCTATTTTCAGCAATTTTTGACTAACTCTTTTAAATGTATAATTGCATCCTCATGACATTCTAAGTATTCTTAGGCACCAATTGGATTCTCATAGTTATGGAATAAACTAGAAACACATAAAGAGAGTTAAATTAAAATGAAATGAATATTGAATGGTGTTTCTATTGTGTTTTTGTTATGTGATTTATACAGGTGGGCATCCGAGGCCTTATATCGACTTAACCCACTGTGAGTAATAACTCTGTAAAGTTATGTTTAACTTTTATTATTTTCTGATGATACGAGATGATAAGTTTCTGAAATGCTATGTTTTGTATGAATGAATGATTGTCCAATTTTCTTTGAAACGTAATTGTGGTATCCGTAGCAGAGGCCCCTACCCCAGGAGACATAATACTGTGACTTATGGTCATGAGGCCCTAGCCTGCGGGTTAATATCGTGGCCCAGGCCCTCGCCCGGGAGAAATAATACCGTGGCACAGGCCCTCGCCCGGGGGAAACAATACCGTGGCCCACGTATGAGATATGTTACCCAGTACCGAAGGTTCCATTATGAAACTTGATATGCTTGACCAACATGATATGCTGTGCTAAAGGAAGTACCACACATGATTTGAATATGAATATGAATATGACTCTATTTCTAATACGAATATGAACATGAACATGACTATGTTTCTGATTTGATAAGAAATTGAAAGCTAATTTCTGAGTTTCTGATATGAATACGAACATAAACATGACTACGCTTCTGATTTGATAAGAGATTTAAAATCTGATTTCTGAATTCGGTATGGACATCATTCATTAAAATCTTTACTCTGTTATTATTCATTGAGCTCCAACTCACTATATTATTTTTGTATGTAGGTGATCAGGCGTGCGACCAAGCCTAGAGCTTCTGCTTGGATTTTGTTTTGTCAGCCAACCTATATGCCTCCCGTGGAGGTTCCGGATATGTCTAGTGGTTATGGGTAAGTGCATTAAGTTCAAGTTTTGTTTTCTTGTTTGGTTAAACAAGTCCTTGTTTATTTTGTAAATAAGGTTAAGTCCCTTTTTGTCTAATCTGTATTAATATGATGACGTAAGGGTGATGCGTAAATATGTATATAAAAAGTTTAAAATTTTTCCGTTTCATATAAGTCTGCACAGCTCAATGGATGTTGTATATTTGTTATTTGCTTCCGCTAGCCCCTAATATTAAGCTAATCTGTCTTAGAGGCCTTCGGTAATCCCAGGATTACTGGCCGGTTACGATGCTAAACCTATAGGGGCAGGTTTGGATCATGACATTTATTCATTCGGACTCTCCTTCGTGAGAGCGCAATGTAATAATGTATATGTCTTTCAACCCTCTGTCTTTCTCTCTTTTATTTGCTAGCTTATGATGGTTAGATTAGGGACATCATGTTTCAATTAGCGTACTTCATGTTTGCATCCATTTGTGTTGCATGCACTGAGACTCGATTTATCATTCTAACTGCATTATTGTTTAAATATTTTTTTGAATACGTGCTTAGACTGCTTGCTACTTAATTGACTCAAATGCCATATTAGTAGCCAAGCCTAGCAATTGCATATCGCATGTGTTGCATTAGCCATCTTGCATAAGTTAGGAATCATGCATTTTTTCTAACTCATTTCTTTTTTGGCTTTGAGTACTAGGTGAGTCTTTACTCGCTTTAGCAGAAATTGCATGAGTGTGTGATTATTGCCATGTCTAGCATGCTTAACATAAGGCTAAGTGCTTAAATGCTATAAACTGCTTGAATGCTTGTGGATGAAGGCTTATTGCTTGAATTGGAATAATTTGAGTAATATTCATATACGATCACTTTTTCACGTGGTACATATTCGAAACAATTTTCAAAAACGAACATGAATCAAGTGTTCCAATTCTTGCAAAGTTAGTCTATACTTGTGTGTGTGCGCATCACATAGTAATGCTAGCAAAATAAACCGGAACAAGAGCATATAATGTAAATAAGATTCATATCATGATTAGTAGAGGCCGATCTTTGATCGGACGAGCGGGGGTGCTCAAATGTATTCATGACCTTCCCCTTTCGTACTTAAGTTCCCAAGCCGAGACAATCTTGGTGATGACGAACACGTGGCCTTTGGCACGAGTCATGGGTTTCTTAAGTTTCTCAAAAATATTTAGGTGGCGACTCTGTATCTGGTAAAACAGTCCATTTTTGACATTTTTAATTCAAAATCGATGGCAAGTCTATTAATGTGTGGAAAGATTAGTGGTGTGGCGATAGGTCCTTTGCAGAATCTGTTCCCAGCCCCAATCAAAGCAAATCCACTGATGATCCCAGGTGTGAAAATGTTAGAGACTTGTTGGGAGAGAACGGAAATTGGGATGATTAATGTGTTAAAAGTCTTCTCCCCACTCTTATTGCCTTTCTAATTTTGAATATTGTCCTTTCTAATAATGCTAACATGGATTCTCTTCTATAGAAATGTGTAACTCATGGTGTGTTTTCTGTTTCATCTGTTTATGAGCTCATCCAAGGTAAACTTGATATGGAAGAGGATTGGAACTGGTTGTGGAAGCTTAGGCTACCATAAAAACTTAAAGCTTTCTTGTAGACTGTCTTTATCGAAAGTTGCTTACTAATCATATGAGAATAAAAAGGGGCCTTACCAATGATCCTATATGCCTAAATTGCTGTGGGATTGAGGATAACAATCATCTGTTTAAGGAGTGTTATAAGGCTAAAGAAGTATGGCTTGCAACTTTTGGCAAGAATTGGTACCTAGATATGTTGAAGAAATCTTGGATGGATTGGCTCAAGAGTAATTCTAGAAATAAAAAATATTTTAATGAAGACATCTCTTGGTACACTGTTTTTGTTGTGATTTTATGGAAAATCTGAAAAACTAGAAATACTTTTGTGTTTGATGGAAAGAATACTAATAACAAAGAGAGTGCCACATTTATTTTGGATTACTCTAGAGATATCCGCCAAGCTTTTCTTAACTTAATCCTTAATCCTAGACCATTCTATAGACTTATTCATTGGCGTTGGCCATCTGCAGGGAGGATAAAACTCAATATAGATGGATGCAAGAAAGCTAGGGAAGAAGGAGGCTTTGGAGGGCTACTTTGTGATGAAAGAGGAGCTTATGTATGTGGCTATTATGGCAAGATGCAAATGGGAACAAGTTTAGAAGCTGAGTTGTGGGCCTTGTACAAAGGCCTTACTATCATACTATAAAAGGGACTAAATAATGTGATGATTGAAACTGATGCGGCCCATGTGGTCAAGCTGATGGAAGAAGAAACAGGGGACTGCCCCTTCAGAAACTTGGGAGAAGATGCCAAAATACTTTTTAGAGGGTGTGAATACACTATTCAACAAATTTGGAAAGAAAGCAACTTATGTGTGAACACATTGGCTAAACTAGGTGCAGAACAACCTGAAGAAATGTTGGTGGTGAATGAGCTATCTATTGAAATTAAGAGCTTGTTAGTTACAGACATGATAGGTCTATCTAGTGATCGGGTTAGCTCTTTGTTGTTGTTGTTGTTGTTGTTGTTGTTTTTTTTTTTTTTTTGTCTCTTTTTGTACCCAACAAAAAAAAAAAGGTTCAATAAGTTGATTGTTACAATTGAAAAATACAAAATCAAAGTGAGATTTGGCTATAAAATGTAAGAGTTTACTCAAATTTCCATAACTACTTTAATACAATATTAATAGAAAAATCATATTATAAGAGATTAACTATTACGATATTTGGTATTTTGAGCAAAGTGTGAAGTGTAAATTTTTTTATTTATCACCTCACAATCTAAACAACTCATGAAAGAGATTCAAAAAGTATTTTTTACAAGAAAAAATTTAGGGAAAAAAAAACAACTCTTAAGATTTTACTATTATAATAAAATAAACCTTGAAAGTTTAATTTTGTTAATTTAAACATTTAATGTTTTAATTTATTTTCAATTTAAGCACTTCATCTATTTTTGTTAAATAAAATTAATAAAAAAATTAATATTTTGGTCAATAAAATAAGTAAACAAATCAAAAATATTAAAATTAAAAATTTATTTTGTTATAATGATGAAATCTATCATTTTTTTTTTAATTTAAATTTCACAAAATTTTCACTCCAAACAAACATAATATTTACTACGTTTTCCCTAATTTTTATCTGCTATATTTTCTTACTTGCCAAACAAGAACTTTTTGGTAAAAAAATCTAGAAGATAAGTGGAGCATGAGGAGGATACACAATCCGTGTCCCTCAAAATGGGGACTACTCACCTTCCTCTTCAGTTCCCCAGATCAGCCACTTCACCATCATCACCACAGCCACTGCCGATTCTACTCACAAAAAACCCTAGAATCTTAAACATCACTTCGCGTCGCTCCACCGTCTACGGCGGTCGGCATGTCGGAGAAAAGCGATTCAGATTCAATCTTAACGACGAGTTCGTTACCGGCGACGAAGACGATGGGTTTGGTGCGAAGAAGAGGGTCTGGTGGTCCGATGATTCGATTGATATCGACGACGATGATGATGAAGAAGGATTTGGGGTTTTTGGGGAGTCTATTGACGCGTCTTGGGTTTTCAAGGTACACGAAATCATCTTAAATTTGTAGTTTTGGTTGATGAAATTTATATGCTATTATCAAAGTGTTCTGTTTGGTTGGTTGTCTTTGCAATTGATTAGTTTTACGGTACACCATGAAATATAGATAGGAAGGACTATGGTGTGCATCACCTTATAATTAAAATAAAAAATTGTATAATTTCATACATTCTGAGTGTTAACTAAAAAAAAAGGTCAGAACTTAACTAAACCCACATGAGGCATAACCATAACCAAGATCTATCTTATAATGTCATAATTAAAAATAAAAATTGATAATACCTAAAGAAGAAAATGACATAATTGAAGGATGCATGTATGGTAGGGAGTGTGCATGATAGAATTCTTCAATATGAAATATGAGAGAAAAGCAAAGAAAAAGAAATGATTAGCTAAGTTGTAAAGAAAAGAAAAGATTCTGATTTCCCTTTTTTTGTTTTTTTTTTGTTTTTTTTTTTGGGATAGATAAGAGAAAAGAAAAATGAAATGATATTCATCTTGTTTGGTTTTATCCTTTTTTTTTTTTTTTTTGGTTGTGAAAATTGAGTTTTTTTTGTTTTTATTGAATTTTAAAAATATTTTATGCATTTTTTTTAGATACACTTAAAATGTATAATATTTGTAAAAAAAAAAAAACTTTAGAAAAGCTCCAAATACAAAAAATACAAAAAAAAAAAAGAAAAAGAAAAAGAAAAAGAAAAAAGAGAAAATTCAGTACATTTTCATATTTTGTTGTATTCAATGATTTTTTTAAAGTTTTTTGTACAACTTGTATACTTTTAAAATATATCAGATTAAGTGGATCTAAAAAGTACAAAAAAAAAAAATGATTAAATGAAAACTCAGAAAACTGTTTTTGAAAATTCCAAGCCAAATAGAGTTCCCTATCTGTTATATAAAAGAAAAGAAAAGAAGAAAATAATCTCATGTTATATTAACAAATTAACCTTTTATAGGGTTAATCTTTTTATTTGTTCTATATTTAAAAGGTAGTTTTAGTATTACAACAAAATAATATTTGGTGAGTTTCATTTCTCTCCACTTTTGGTGAGATTGAAAATAGAGATGTGTTTCCCACTGTTAAGTATTAGTGTATACGGATAGTTACGTCTTTTGTTCCTTTAGTCTTTTATTATAAGTATGTGTAACCCTAATATGTTTAGTGGTGTGAAATAATATGCAGCACCAACAGTGCTTTCTCTTTTCTTCCTCTCTTTCTTTTCTTTCTTTTATGCAAATCTAACATGGTGTCGTTTCATCTTCCTCCTTGAAGATTCTTCTCTTGTCTCTTGTTTCTTGTTTCTTTCGTTCTTCCTTGTACATAGAAAAAAATAAAAAAAATAAAAAAAATCCTTTATGGTCGAAATTTGATGGGTTTTCACCCTAAATTTTTATTTTAATTTTTTGATGAGTTTTTGAGTATTTTTCCAATTTTTGTTGATTTTTGAAAAAATCGATTAATTTTTTTTGGAAGTCCCTGCTAGGGCTTGTTTTTGGCTGTTTTTTCCTTCCTCCCTCTACCTTGGGAGCCGACTAGGACTGTCCTAGGGTTGGGAGGGCTGGTTTTGATGATTTGGCAAGGTTTCACTCTATTTTTGTCGATTTTTCTCAGTTTCAGCACGTTTTCTCTCAGTTTCTGACTGGTTTTGCCCTCTCTAGCCCCTGTTTCGGCTCTATTTTTGTCTTTAGAGGTAGCTTTTGTCCCTAAGTTGAGTTTGTGGATTCGCCTCTATTTGTTTTTGCTGTTTTGGGCTGGTATTTGTTTTTTTTCTATTGTGGGCATTTTATCTTCAATGGTTGAGAGTGAGACTAAGGATACAATTAGTAATGATGGTGGCCTCCGTCGTGTTATGACGCTTACTGACAGTCCCTCTCTTCAAATTAGTCCCGTTAAATTGGATGGTTCCAACCATTTGATTTGGTCATGCTCCTGTGGTCTTGTTATTGCTGCTCGCCGTTTGACTGGCTATATTACTGGTTTTCTTCCCCGACCGGATGGTGATGACTCACTCCATACTCAATGGATTTCTGAAAATGTTCTGATACCATGTTAGATTTGCATAAAAGAAAGAAAAGAAAGAGAGGAAGAAAAGAAAGAGCACTGCTGCCGTTATATATTATTTCACACCACTAAACATATTAGGGTTACACATACTTATAATAAAATACTAAAGGAACAATAGACATAACTACCCTTATACACTAATACTTTGATGTGGCTCCAGTCCTTGTTGAATGATATTGGGTTCATTTGTAGTGAACAATTGACACTGTACTGTGACAACAAAGCTGCCATTAGTATTGCTCACAATCCTGTTCAGCATGATAGAACAAAGTATATTAAGATCGACAGACATTTCATCAAGGAGAAATTGAATAAGGGTTTCATATGTATGCCTTTTGTGAAGTCTGCAGATCAATTGGCTGATGTCTTTACTAAGGGTCTTAGTAGTAAGATTTTCCATCCTATTTGCTGCAAGTTGGGCATGAGAAATAGCTTTGCACCAACTTGAGGGGGAGCGTTAAGTATTAGTGTATAAGGGTAGTTATGTCTTTTGTTCCTTTAGTCTTTTGTTATAAGTATGTGTAACCCTAATATGTTTAGTGGTGTGAAATAATATACAGCAGTAGCAGTGCTCTCTCTTTTCTTCCTCTCTTTCTTTTCTTTCTTTTATGCAAATCTAACACCCTCCATATCTTCCATTTCTCTCCTGTTTGGTAATCCAAACAATTGATTAAAATGTATTTCACTCCATTTCATTTCATTTCATGTCATTTCTCTCCAAATCACTCAAACCAAATGAATTGTGAGAGTTTGTTTCCTTCAAATTTGATGATGAAATGCTATCTCCAACCCTATATACTTCTACTCAAATTATGTAGAAATTTTGATATGGAATGCTCCAATGGATAAACTCAATGATATGAAATACTCCAATGATAAACAATAACTTTTAGTAAAATTAGCAAGTGTCAAGTTTGAGGGAAAGTTAGGGGTTGGAGTAAAGGAGATTAGTGGATAGTTGGGTAAAATTAGTAGTGTCAAGTTTGGATTGGATATAAATCTGAGTAAAGGAAATGGGTCTCCCTTTGATTTGAGTAAAAATTTGTGGAAAATTCAATTTGGTATAAGTCTGAGTAAAGGAGTGAAGGGGATTTTAATGGCTTTTTACTCAAACTTAAGTTTGAGTCAAGATTTTGAGTAAAGGGTGAAGATGTCTTTGAGTTTTCCTTCATACTCAAGACTCAAACCAACTCCCGTTAAGGGAAATGCTACAATGTGCAATCCTAAAAAGGTGCACATTGTAATAAAAGTTATGATTTTTGTAATGAAAGATATGAATTTTTGTGTTGAAAGGTATGAATAGCAAAGTTATGGTGCCTAAACAAAGTTAATACCTTTTGTGATAAATCTTATACTTCCGCTCTTTCGGTGGATCGAAGAGAGCCAAAGTGCTATGGTCTTGTGCCATTTTTACAACTTTTTGGGTTCTATGGTTGGAAAGAAATGCCCGGTTGTTCAAAGATAAATTTCAGAAAGTGGATTGTTTGTGGGTTAAAGTCTGTTACTTAACTTCCTTTTGGGCGTCGGGGAATTCTCTCTTTAAGGGAGTTCTACTTTTTTTGTTGGCTAGAGATTGGTTGTCAGTGTGTGATATGTAGGCTTTGCTTGAGATGATCTTGTTTGTGGGCTATGTTCTTTGTATTTCTTTTTCCTTTTGTAAGAGGATGCCCTATCCTCTCTCACCTTTTGATTTATCAATAAAATCTTTTGTTGTTGATAAAAAAAAAAATAAAAAAAAAAATAAAATAAACCTTACTTTTTATATAAGGTGCTTATCATATGGACCCTTTTTGGGCTGCGCATGGTAGCCTTTCCGGTCAAAGACATGATCTTAGTTGCAGGAATTGACTATTGGGGTGATGATTCCTCTCTATATTTGCATTTCATGGTTCAAAGTAAGAATCTTGTTAGAATAATGTTCTTGTTGACTTAGAATCTCAATTCCAACTAGGACGTGATCACTCAATCATATAAATGCCATAAATAGAAGAAAATCTACCAAGGCAAAAGAAAATATGTATTTATCATAATTTCGGCTTTTCTCTTAGGAATCTACCTTCCTCCTCTTCATCTCAATGTTTCTGAAGCTGCCATGAGTAACTGACATTCAAAATGGGATATCCTTCTACTCCACAAAAATTTCCTTCACCAGCGTAATGATATCCCCAAATATTTTCCCATCTCATTCATCCTAGTGGGGGCTGCTACCAGTTGATCATCAACTACTGAGCCAGACTCTCCTCTCCGCAAGTTAGGCACTTCAAAGTTTTGGTCTTTAAACTCCCTTCTATGCACTAAATTGAGCAGGCCCCTATTTGGTTGTGTTTTTGTTTTTTATTTTCTGGAGAGCACAAAGGGGAACTATTTCTGAACATTGTTGGGGAAAATACATGTCAGTGTATATTTAAAAAATATTTACAAATTAATATTAAACTTTGCAAGTATTAAAGTATGAAATGGTGAACTTTTTCATCAATTAGTAAGCAAGTTTTAAAAAACCCACTGAGCAGTAGATTCCACAAAATTGTTTTCCCAAAAAATTCCCCATAACAACCCATTGTTTAGGAAAAACCAAAAAGTTACTTTTTGAGTTTTCAAAAATAGTTTTCGCTAAAAAATGATAGCTATATGAAAAAGATGGGTGAAAGGTTTCCGAAAACTTGAAAAATGAAAAGAGGAAACTAAAACACAACCAAATACAGGCCCCTAATATAGCATTTGGTAGTAGCTTAGATTAAAAGAAAAAGAAGAAGAAGAAGAATACTTCCCAGCTCCAAAGTATAATACAAATAAGGATGGCAATTGAACCAAGGGTATTTGAGTACCACCCCGCTCCTAGTTTGGAGATGCAGGTTCAAGGGAAGTAAGAATATCTTGAGCCAGGCTCGTGGCAGAGTTCGGTTCAAAGTACCCTGCTTGCCCAGTTATGAAGTTTTCGTAAATGGCCGTATAGTTATTTCAATTGCATAAAATGCTCATATATGTGCTCACTGTAATAAAGTTTGCAATTTCATCTCTCACTTCCCCTCTATAGTCTATGCACATATATGACTGCTGCTGCCAACTCCATCTAAATTTTGATTTTTAGATTACATAAACAGCCACTAAAGCAGCTTCTTCTTTCTCAACATTGTCAACTATTTCCCATTGAAGCTCACACTTAGTTGTGTTTGGTTCATGGATATGGAGAGAGATTTGGAAAGGAAAAGAGAAAAAGTGTGAAACATAAGTAAAATGTAGTTATATTTCATTCACATTTCACTCACCTTTTTCTTTTTCCTTTCCAAATCCATGAATCAAATACAACCTTAGGGAAATCATAATAGTTGCTAGTTTCTAAATTCATTTGATCACTTGTTAGTCTTGCTACACTACAGGACACAAGTCGGGGGTGAGGTTGTAGATACGGCCAAGTATATTTAGGGGTTGTTTGGGAGTAGTAGATGTTTTTGATTTTTTATGAAAACATATGAAATGTGGGTTGGGGCTGAAGTGATGAGGTAGAGAGATGATATGACTCAAATAAAATGTAATGTGGCCAAATAAGATGATTGTGATCCAAATAAAATAATGTACTAAAATAGCATATGCTATTTTAGCACATGCCAAGCAAACATAGTCATGTTGCTGCTACTATCAGGGATATGTTTTCACAATCAGAGACAGCATGATCTGGTGTCACATGTTTACAATCAAAGGGTACAAAGTTGATTTGCTGAATATCAAATTTGAAGGTATAGAGGCTTAGGTGAAAAGATTAGGGCAATTTATGAAACCACCTTGCGAAATATTCACTTTAAGTTCCTGACTTCCTGTTCCAACTGTTTGGGAACAATAGAATTTTGGAAAGTAGTTCTGTATGTGTTCAATTTAATGGTTGACAAAAAAAATTGAAGTACATTTCTTTTACCTAGTTTTCTGACACAATGTTGATGAGTCAGTGCAGGTTTTGAATGCTATTGGTTGGATGCTTCCCGCCATCATCATATCATTGCTGCTCGGCACGGGACCAAACACATTCTTCATGGCATTAGTGCTTCCCATAGCTCAGTCAGCAGTTTCCCTTGTAACGGATACATTCTGGGGAAGGTCAAGTGGCAGCCCTAAGCCCAAGCGCAGGACCAAGAAGAAGAAGCCCTTTGCTAGAGCCGAGAGCGATATTAGAATGAATGGTGAGAACGAAAACACTGAGTCTGGCAGCATAAGAGAGAATTATGCTAGACCCACTTGCGATACTGGAACGAACAGGGGGGATGAAGATGCTGAATCTGGCAACGTAAGGGAGAATTACCAGTCATGGGTAGCTGCAAATGACATTTCAACTAAAACACGCGATAAGAGGGCGCCCGGGTTTGGTGGATGGGACGAGCTAGACAAGCGAATGGGATCTTATAAAATCCCGAAAAGCGCTCAAAGGGTAAACAAGCCGCAACAACAGAAGAAAGGTAAACTGAGCAGGAGAGTGAGAAATAGAGACACACCATTGCTGCTGAGACTGATAATTGCTGTTTTCCCATTCTTGGGATCCTGGACTAAGTTATTATAATACAAATGTGTATATTTGTTTTCTTTTGCTCAACAACAAAAATATTAGTTGTTATTCTGAACAGCATAAATAATATTTTTTATATCATTACTCGGATAAAATTAGAAATGATGCAAGAACATTTAGTTTTAAGCCTAAAGTAGCTTCAAACCTTCCATTGTCACATACAATATTTACAAATTTAGCTCATCTCATACACTAATCCCTCTCAAACAAACAGGCCACAACAACATCATTTCTCAAAAACGCCTCGCATTATCATATAACCTAACACATATGCAACTCTTTTACGCATAATTATAAATTTAAACACAATTATGTTAAATGAATGTGAGATCACAAAAAAGTGAAACTCAATCATGTAAGATAATTGTATCTAATATTCTACAACCGATTTGTGTATTTTTGGATTCTTTCATATTTATGCTGCATGCATATAAAACATCCATATTATAAGCTACCCATTTTTTTTTTTTTCTTTTTAAAATGAAAAAAGCTGATACGTAGGAAGTTTGACTCTGGGAAACCGTCCGATTGCCCTTTGTACTACACAGCTTCAGCTGGTGATGATGAGTTGTGATCAGGTGTGGGACTTGAGTTCTGAGGCTCGACCTTCCTCATCATAAACCCAGGTCTATTAGCGAGATCATCTTCATCACGATAGATGTATGCAAACCCACCATGCCTGGTCAGATCCATCCCCGCCATCTCATCCTCCCTCGAGATCCGCAACAACTTCAATTTTTTCAATCCATAAAATAGTGGGCCCATTGTCACCGACACCCACCCGAAAATAACTAAGATCTCAATAAGCTGCGCCGCCAGAAGCTTTCCTCCGCCACCCATAAACAACCCGTACGGCCGCCCCGCCGAATACACCTCGTCGACATACTTCTTCTTCGCGAACAACCCGGTGAATAAAATCCCCCACGACCCACAACCCCCGTGGAGTTGCGCCGCCTCCAGTGGATCATCGTACTTCAACTTCTCTGCAACCTTGTTACACCCGATCAAAACCCAAGCTGACACGAACCCACACACGATTGCAGCCCACGGTTCTACCACCGAACACCCTGAGGTGATCGCAGCAAAACCCCCTAACAAACCGTTACACACATCAACGACATTCCAGTGTCCATCCAATAATCTCTTGCCAAACAAGGTAGTAAGTGCGGCTGTGCAACCAGCCAATGTTGTAGTCACAGCTGTCCTCCCTACGGCGCTCCATTGCCCGTAATAAGTCCCGGCAGTACCGTACGATTTCAGGATGGTTAAAAACGAACCGGGGTTGAACCCGTACCAGCCGAACCAGAGGAGGAACGAGCCGAGAACAACGAGCGAAGCGCTGTGACCTCGCAACGCGACGGACCTGCCGGACCGGTCGAATCGGCCGATTCTCGGGCCTTCGATTAGGGCTCCCCAGAGACCGGCGATGCCGCCGACCATGTGGACGACACCTGAGCCGGCGAAGTCGATGGCGCCGGAGCTGAACAAGAGGGCGCCGGAGGTACGGCTGGCGCTGAGCCAGCCGTCGCCAGACCAGACCCAGTGGGAGACGATGGGGTAGACAAAGGCGGTTAAGAAGGAGGAGTAGATGAGGTAAGCCACGAACTGAGTTCGCTCGGCTATGGAACCGCTAGTGATTCCGGCGGCGGCTATAGCGAAAGCCCATTGGTAGAGAAAGAAGCTGTAGTCGTGGGTAGCTGATGGGACGCCAGTGAGGGCGAAGGAGTAGTGGCCGATGAAGGCGTTGGAGCGGGAGCCGGAGCCGAAAGCGAAAGCGAAGCCGAAGAGGTAGTAGGAGAGGCCGCCGGCGGCAGCGTCGAGGACGTTGGTGAGCATGATGTTCATGGTGTTTTTGGCGCGGACGGAGCCGGCGCAGAGCATGGCGAAGCCGAGCTGCATGGCGAAGACTAGGTAGGCTGAGAAGAGGAGGTAGGTGGTGTCGACGGCGTAGGTGGTGTCGGAGAGCTTGGTGGAGACGGCGTCTAAGCGGCCGCAGATGAAGTCTGCGACCGCGGTGGCGTTGTTGACGCCGGTGAGGTGGGGGACGAGGTCTGTGGCTGAGCAGCCCAAAGTGGAAGCCATGACAACTTATACGAGTGTTTTGCTTAGTTTAGTTAGTGTCAGAAAAATGGGAAAGAGAGAGAGGCTTAGAAGCCAAAAGTGTTAGTTACTTGTGCTTTTATAATAGACTAGGTTGTTAATCCCTTACCAGATAAAGTATGATTTTTTTAATTGGTATCTAAAGGTATCTGTAAATTTTGAATATTTTGGTCATAAATTTCTCTTAGTTTCTTTTTTCTTTCTTTGTTTCTTATTAAAAGGATTAAAAATAAAATAAAATAACATTAGTACTTTCAAAAATTTATGATAATTATAAAATTTTGTATGAAAAACAAAATTTATTATTTGAATTTGATCATTATACTATTTGTTACTTCACTTTTTTTTACAATACTCTCTTTCTCTTCACTAACTCGATAGTTGTTCTTCGCCTCTACCATCTATTGGTTCCATTTATCTTCACTGTCGGTCAGCGACCATCATTTTTACCGTCAAATCACCATCACCTCAGATTTGATATATGTATATTTCTGGGTACTGTTTTGAATTTATCACAAAAATATTAAGAAAAATGATATATAAATTCATTTTTAAAATCTATTTTCTAGATTGTATCAACAAGACGCTTGATTGATAATTAGAAAATAAATGAGAGAAAAATTTGATTTAGATATTTTAATAGAGTAACCCATCATTAAATCTAGAAAGTGGATCTAATTTTTTAACTTGAATAATATTCTATTTTTAATATAGATATAATAGGGCGAATTACACTAATGGTCCCTATAGTTTGGGCGGCCTTGTGCCACTTTAGTTCCTGATTTTTCAATTGTGATATATTTGACCTTAAATTTTGAATTTTGTTCCAAATAAGGACAATTAAGATATCATTGCTCAATTTCAAGGGCAAAGTCGTCAATTCGATAAAATATAAACTAATTTGATAAAAATATTTTTGAATTTTTAAAAATTAGTTCAACCCACTAAAGATAAAATTATGTAAAATTCATAATTTTTTTAAACGTTTATTTATTTATTTATTTTACCAAATTAATTTTTATTATGTGTTTGGATGATGATCATATAATAGGTGATTGTTTTTTATTTTCATTGAAATAGTTTCTATTTTTCCAAAAGTCAAAGATGGCCACAACTTTGATATCATTATTAAACTAATCCATTAAATCAAAAAATTAAAAATTAAAAATATTTCATATATTAAATATATCGATTACACATTCAAAGTGCAACAACCACCCATTACATGATTATCATCCAAACACATAATAAAAATTAATTTGGTAGAAAAAATAATAAATGTCTAAAATATTTATCAATTTTACATAGTTTTATCTTTGGTGGGTAGAAATTATTTTTAAAAATTCAAAAACATTTTTTTGACATTTATTTTTATCAAATTAGTTTATATTTTGTTAAATTGACTACTTTGCCCTTGAAATTGAGCAATGGTATTTTCAATTGTCCTTATTTGGAATAAGATTCAAAATTCAGGATTAAATGTGTCACAATTGAAAAGTCAGGGACCAAAGTGACATGAGTCTCAAGCTATAGGGATTGTTAGTGTAATTTGCCCTATATAATATTTGAACATTGCTATTTATAACAAAAAAAAAAAAAAATTAGACTCAATTTTGAAGTTCAGTGATGCGACAATCAATTAGAATATTAAAAGTAATACACCCTTTCATATCTTCTCAAATTATCAACCAATTATATTACTTATATATCATTGGATACAACTAGGGCTACAAACGAATCGAGCCGAACCAAGTTTTGTTGAGCTCGAGCTCAACTCGTTTATTGAGCTCGAGCTTGGCTCGATAAGAAACTAGACTCGAGTTCGGCTTCGCTCGTTAACATTAACGAAACTCAATTTTGGCTCGGCTCGATAATTTTTTTTAAATATTATTTATATTATTTAAATAAAAAATATTATTTATACTATTATTTAATATATAAATAATATATTTATTATATAATTTAAATAAAGATAAACGAATCGAACTTGATGAGCTGAGCTTATGTGAGCTCGAACTCGGCTCGTTTACTAAACGAGCCTAATATTTGAGTTCGAGTTTGGCTCGTTTATTAAACGAACCAAGCCTAATCGAGCCTTTAACAAGCTGAGCCGAGCTTTTAATAAGTCGAACCAAGCTTGTTCATGAACAACTTAGTTTATTTGCCGTCCTAGGTACAACATTTTCCTTGTATTTATTAATCATATATTACAATTTATCAAGATTTAAAAAAATTTAATAATTACCAATGTTTTGAAACAAAGTGATTGAATTATTTAGGAAATTTAGGAAACAAAGTGACATATCATTGGATCTAGAAAGCGGGTCTAATTTTTTAGCCTGAATTGCAATACTCTATTTTTAATACATATAAAATATTTAAACATTGTTAGAAATGGTTTTGGAAAATATTATTTTTCCTAAACTTTGGCCTATTTTTAAGGTAGGACCTATACGCCAAAATTGGCCGGTCTAAGTGGTAACGCGTTTTATGCCGCGTTGTGATTCATGTGGTATATTTGGTTGCTCAAAACCATTATCGGGTGAATGGAAAATTGAAGCCAAAGAGAGCTCCATGGAAATGGTATTTTTGGTGAAAATTTCTTAAGGTTTGAATAAAGGCTTGTCCCACATTGGTTTGGTGGGAAGAGTTTTGTGTGTTTATAAGGCATGGGATTGTGACTTGAGGAGGGCCCTAAGGGGCACCTTAAGTTTGTAGAAGAGAGAGGTTATGGGTAAATTGAGCTAGACCAATTGGACCAAAAAATAAACACACGCACACCGCCGCCTTCCGTCCGGCTGGGCCTGGGCTTGGGCACGGTGCATGGTGTGAGGTTGGGTTGGGTTTGTCAGGCCCAATACTTATTTTTTTGGGCCAAAACCATTTGAATTTATTTTTTAACTTTTGGAAAATAATTTTTGACTATTTGAATTCAAATTTTGGTTCGAAAATTTGCACCCTTCTGTTTGAAATCTGTCTGTTCTGTTTGTACAGATTTCAAATCTGTTCGTTTCAGTTCAAAAAAAAAAAACCTTACCTGTTTAATTTAAAATTCAAACAGATTTGTATCTGTTTAATTTAAACTGAACAGGTACAATACCTGTTGGATTCAAACCAAACAGCCACCATTTTTTTCTATAAATATGCAGTCCCTTAATTGATTTTTTCACTTGAAATTGTCGTTCAAAATTTTGCAATTACTCTCTACATTTTGTTGCATTATTTTTTTGTGAGAAAGAGTGTAAACACAAAATGTTTGTTGTACAAATAATTTGTAGTGCTGCTATTATTTGCAGTTGATCATTTTATCCTGGGAGATAGACGTCCATAATCTGAAAGCACTGTGGAAATGACGAATCTGTCTTAAGGAAACCGTGTTAAACATTGAACTTGATCAAAAATTTGTTCAAGAAATTAATTTGGTAAGTAATTAATTTACTTTTTTGTTTTATTATTTTTCTTATTTCAAATTTTGATTTTATTTTTGTAACAAAATAAAAGTCCGTTTTATTTATTTTATTTTATTTTCTGGTTTGATTTTTGTAACCTAACAAACTCTTTCTTTTCCTTTATTTCTTCTGTATTCCGTTTGTTGTTAAGTACACAAACATAATTTATTCTTTAAATACAATGAAGATTGTCTAACAATCTTAAGACATTTTATTTTTTGGTATCTTCATTGTATTTAATTTTCTATGCTTTCACAAAGTGATATTCTGGTTGGAAAATACAAATAGTAGTAATTTACTGTTTGATAAATAGTAGTAATATACTGTTTATTTTCTTTGACAACTAGTAGTAATATACTGGTGTCATTAACAATTGCAGAATATTAATTTGTGTTACATAAAATTATTTTGGTATTTTATTTTTCTAGTTTTAGTAACAAGGAAAATAAAATTATTTTGTGTTATAATTTATTTTTTGGTTTTAGTAACTAGAAAATTAATTTGTGTTTTGGTTTTTTCTGATTTTTGTAATAAGATATTATGGCTGCTGAAAGTAGTACTCCAAATTTGATCATTACAATGACTCCGGTCCCTTTCCCGAACCATGTTCAAGTTCCGATAAATCATGGAGAAAAATCGGAAAAATTTAACGGCACAGAGTTTAAGAGATGGCAGTAGAAAATGTTGTTCTATCTTACAACTTTAAATTTGGCCCGGTTTCTCCGTGACGAGGCTCCAGTACTTAGAGAGGATGAAAGTGATCGGCAAGTTGTTGTCGCTGTAGACGCCTGAAACATTCTGATTTCCTGTGCAAAAACTATATCCTCAATGGCCTTGACAACATGCTGTATAATGTTTACAGTCCTCTGAAAACAGCAAAAGAATTGTGAGATTCTTTGGAGAAAAAATACAAGACAGAGGATGCTGGCACAAAGAAATTTTGTCGGTAAATTCCTGGACTTCGTTATGGTAGACTCCCAAATGGTAATTTCTCAAGTTCAAAATTTTTAATTAATTTTGCATAATATTCATTATGAAGGTATGTCTCTTAGCGAGTTTTTCCAAGTCGTTGCTTTAGTGGAAAAGTTATCACCGGTTTGGAAAGATTTCAAAAATTATTTAAAACGCAAACACAAGGAGATGACCATCGATGAATTAATTGTAAAACTAAAAATTGAAGAAGATAACCGAAAGGCTGAAAAAAGAAATGGTAACAATCCCATTGAGTCCAAGGCTAATAGGGTTGAACAAGTGCACAAACCACATAACAAAAAGAAGAAGTTTATTGGAGATGGTCCTAAATAAGGCGACAACAATGGCAATAAGAAGTACAAAGGAAAATGCTATAACTGTGGCAAGACCGGACATCGAGCTTTTAATTGGCGCCGCCCTAAGAAGGATCGCAGAAGTACAAGCAAGAAGACCACCAATCAAGCCAATGTGACATAATTAGATTACATCTCTGATGGGGTAAATGACATCAATCTCTCTGTTGTGGTGTCTGAGACTAATTTGGTTGGAAATCCCAAGGAATGGTGGGTTGACACTGGGGCAACTAGTCACATTTGTGCGGACAAGAAGATGTTCACTACTTACAATGAGGCTGCAAATGG